CGCAAAAACACGTTCTATATAGATTTATGCGTAAATGAGAACAAGGGCATAACAGTCATAAATCTGTCAAAATAGTACTCATATTTTCTCTTTGTTAGTTTGCCAATTATGAAGTTATTCTTGGTTATAGAGTGCAAATTCTCTAAAACAGACAATGTCTTTGTCATCTTTGTGAGAATAATTGCAGAGAGAAAAGAATATATAGGCTTTAATTGTATAAAGGTTTAAGGCGGATCGAGAAAGTTTTAGTGGATATATATAAGGTTTTTTTTAATACCATCTTTAATGTTTTTTTTTAACACAAGCTAATCTTCCCTCATAAGCTATCATCAAACCAATCTTAACCGGTGGTAATTTTATCATATTGAACATTTCAGATTTGACATCAAAACTCATTATATATAATGACAACTTTTGAATGATCAAGAACGGCTCTAGCTTCATAATACAAAACCCCGTTGATGCATCGCCCATAACTATCGTCTAAAGGTTTCTGCTTATGATTGGTTTTGATACTTCTCCATGATTCTTGATCTGATCCCAATGTAAGAACCCGAAATTCGCCGCAGGTTTTATAAGGCATGCACACTACTTTGTGTTTACATCATACCATCTCTTTTCTGGTTCACTTAAAGTTAAAAACTTTTTCGTTGTAGGGTTCCAAATTATAGGGTTTGTTTCTATTTGAAAACAGATCAAGCCATGGACAGATTCCGTGTTGTAGAAGCAACCTTTATTGGGGGAATTCATATGATAACTATCCAAAAGCTGAGGCTTGTTTAAATTGTGATAGTGTTGAGGAAAAGAGAAAACAAAAATCCTGTCCCTTACTTCGAAGAACATTAGATGACTTGACCGTGTTTCGGACCGAGTTTCGAACGTTTTGTTGAAATATGGGTCCTTTGCGATTGATGACCATAGCTTCGAAACGCAACGAAATCTCACTAGAGATTTTGCAGGTAGTCGTAATTAAGAGTATCTCTGTGGTTAGTTCAAGTGGAAACGATGATGATGCTGGTTTTGACAATGATGAAGATCGTCTTCTACTTTTCTTCTCTTGATTCTTTCCTTCTCGCACCATCTTTGGTCAAAACCCTAATTTGCACTCTCTGTTTTACTTCCTCTCTAATCTGTGTTTCTTTTTCTACTATCCACACATATATATACTGTAATGGTTTTTTTAATAAACATTTTTTTATAAATTACATAATTTCCAAAAAAGTTGTTTCTTTAATGGGCTTTCCTTTTATAATTGTATCGAA